GCAATAAATAAAACAAAACCATCTGTGATTGACACATCATTAGACACCCATGAATTATTCAATATCTGCAATCATATTGGTTTGCTGAAGGATCCACATGCTGAGGAGCATGCGGGCCCAGGGTACCTGATTACAAGTTAAAAGCCTCCAGAACTCAACTGCTCCCATGCCTAAAAATCTGTCAGTCATTAGAGTAGAGAGCGAAAAGTAGAATAAGCCCGCTCAGTCCTCTGAGTGTTGATTTGGACCTCCTGCCATTCCCAGAGAAAGGCTGCATCCTCCTAACTTTGAGACGGCTCTGATTGAAGACATAATTGTGAATGTGGGTGAATTTCATGGTTAGGAGTGCAAAACCCTCAGTGAGATGGATGGAGAGATGGGGAGCCAGGAAGGACTGCAAATTAGGAGTCGGTGTGCTTTGAGTCGGAGCTGGAAGGTGAGAGACCTTGGCTGAGGCTCAATGATATATGCAGACACATAGACAGCAGTACAAATAAACAAGTACTGTATGTTCACAGAAGCATGCATATGGACATACAGAATATTCAAGGAGCAATGAGTATGGGAACACAGGAGGTGTGGCATGGGCGGAGCCAGGAGGCGGCCAAGGATGGCACCGGCCAGAATCTGATTGGCCACTTCTGTCAAAATGTGATGCTTGTCAGTATTAATGAATGAAAAATAAAAGTGGATAAGGAGTGTGGCCAAATGTTAGCTGTGTGTGTCTCATTTATACACAAAATAAACTATGATTTCTAGTAATGTGTTTATTATCTCACAGAACTAGGGGTTTAATTGACTTTTCACATGTGCCACCTCTCTCTGAGTCTGTACCCCAGCCTGGCCACCGTGTCTAAAACGTTCTAGATCTGCCCCTGAAGTGTGTGGAGAAATGCAGATGCACACACAATGAAACGAGATTGGCTGCGTGTGTAAACAATATGCACATCAATGAGCGGAGCAAATAAACTCTGGCTGTCGCACAGCTTCACGACATTCCCCAGCCTTCAGATGCAGTCTCCATCAGCCATCTGCATAGCAAACAAGGCAGCCATTAACACACCCTGACTAATGATTTTTGAATGTTATTAGCTCTCCATGCACATCAGAACTGTGCAGTTCTTTCTCCTTGTGTGGAAGTGCCAAAAAAAAAAAGGGCTTGAGTAACAGTACCTTATCTCCACTGACCAGGGTTTAGTCCTACTGTGAGTTGGCTGCCTCTCTGCTGGAGTCTGTACTATCTTTAGAGTTTTGGCCTAACAGTACTGAGCTGCAGTGGAGCCAATTGTGGCTCACAGCAGAGACACACCTGCAAATCTGGTAGTTAGCTACAAAACAAAGAATCAGTACTTAATGGGGCTCATTTATCAAAGCAGATATGAACAAATGCCTTCAGAAATTGTTTGAACGTGAGCTCCGTACTTTCATGAGATTTAGGTAATAGTTCATATGTACTGTAAACGCTGTCAAAATACGAGTTTTTAAGGTAAAAAAAAAAAAGTGTTTTCAGTGTATGCGGAGGCACTCGTGTGTAGGATGTCAAGGTTACATAAAAAGGGCCGTTATTTATTTGCACAGCTATTTATATGAAAAACAAAACAAAAGGTTTTGACCTGTGCAGAATCTTCACGATGGTTCCAAACTGAACACAGATATATCAGTTTGACAGTTTCTACAGCTCTGAGGTTAGATTACATTTTCTGACAATCATGTCTCTCTAATTGTGATTTTATGCGGCATTGTTAGAAAAAAAAAACTAATTTTAGAAATTAAATAAACTCCTGTCTATGAGTCTTGTGAAATAAACCGCTTAATCTGTCACGCTCTCACCCAAGCCATTCAGACAGCGTATGATTTACACAGTAGCACCTGTCTTTTGAGTTGATTTGACAGACCCGCTGCCTGTTGCTCACAAATTTGCTCCTTAATCTTCAACAAAACAAACATGTGCAAACCGCATTATACAATAATGTTCCTTTCACGTTGCTTAAATATTTCATCCTGGAATACATTATTATTAGCAACCCTGTTGATCAGCTTTACAATAAACTGTGTAGGAGGCAAAAACATTTTTTTGAGCCTCACCATTTTCTGACAACCCGTTTAAACCTTGTATGGTATCACACAGGTTAGCTAAGCCAAGCCTATTTTATTTCCATGAACACTATCATAACATTTACTGTACCAATGCATAATGAGAAATGCCATAACATACAGTAGTGTACAGTACAAATACAAAAGTCAGCAAACTAACTCAGTAATATCAGACAGATAGGAAAATCTACCTAATGTTTAAGATTAGCCACCATGAGCTACTGTTCATAGCAGACCAAATAAGGTTTTAGTAGCAAAACCCCTGAGTGCAGAAAAGGATGCCTATTACTGTAGATTAATTCAGCTTTTACTTCTTATTTCAGAAGTTACAGTAGGCTATATAGTCTGACTTTAATGATGTACCAGTGCTGTTTTTGAAGTTGTTCAACCTGGCTACTTCAGTTGTTGTTAGTAAGTTGGATTATTCAGCTCACTGATGTATTTTTTGTTGTCCGTGACAAAGACCACCAATTATGCTGTCTTAGTCGTCACATAATTCCTTCACTGTTTTCATTTCGACAAAGAGACAAATTACACTTCAGTAGTTTTGTGGGGTTGTTGAGCAGTTGTTGTAGCTTAGACTTTTTAAATGATAGGAATATTGTTCAAAGGTGTGAATGCTCATTATGGCTTGAACGTGGTTATTTATGCTTGTTGAACAGTTGGCAATATTGTCATTCAGTTCTAATGAAAACACTGCTTTCAAAAATATATCTGAGGTAGACAGCGCCGCTCTATTAATACATTTTACTGTAAATTATGGCTAAGCCACCACGTTAGTTTACATTAAAAGAAAAGTCTGTATCTTTTGGTGAATATCTGGATGTTGTATGAGCCGCAATAGTTGGCTTATTTAATCAGTTTCCTAATGTGACAGTGAACACATAACCAGGTATATAAGCACATAATATGTTTCTTATTAAAAATGTAACACTGACATTGCTGGGATACAATTCCCCCCCCCACCTAAACTTATATTACACATATTGCAAAGCTATAAAAGCTGCATGAAGCAAAACATTTCCAGCATTTACAGGCCTTTTATTATTTTCCACTATCAGTTGTCACTTTCTTCACACTAAATACAGCTAGATGTTCTAGTCTCCATAAATGTGTGTGCAGCTCACAATGTTCGCCAGTTGATTAATCTACAATTCATCAACAAAGCCGATAGTAAAGGAGTTCACAGCAGGTTAACACATCCTGTCAGATAAAAAGGCACCCTATCCAAATAGCACATTTTAAATGGAAATCTAAACCAATGAATAATGCATTTGTAATCATTATCATAAAAAATTAACACAAAGCATTGCAATTTAAATATACCAATACACATACCAGTGACAAGAACATCAGACACTGTCTATGCACTCGCTAAAAGCATAAACTTCTATGTATTTAAGCATTTTATCACCAGAATAGTAAGTCTTTAGACCTTCTGACTCAATTTTGACTCTAGAGCCACACAGTGGTTTCTGAAAAAGAGTAAATAAAAGCCTGGGTTGCTTAGAAACAAGCCTGTTGACTGCTCCGACAATTTGCCAAACAGCCTGAGAGACCTTTTAGCTTTTACATGATAAGGCCTTGAATACAGCCCTGACCCTGTGTTACAAATGGTTTGCTTCGGTGCAAGAACCCTGTATTTTCTTCCTAACTACCATGAGTTCAACTGAGTGCAGCGCTAGGGCAGTAATACCGAGCAGAAGAGGCCTCTGGCAGTTCTTGGAGAGAGGCAAAGTAGGTTAAAGTTTTACGGTGCTGATGATTGAGTCCAGTTGCTGAGGGCCTCGGAGAAGCTTCATGATTGCGCGAAAACACACACAAGGGCACAGAGAGTGAAATGCGTACAAACACATCCCACAGTAAAACGCTGATTTCTTTGGAGCCCTGAATGCCCTAGATACACCGGCAGCTCTCAAATTAAGCAGCTCAGAGACAGAGGAATCAAATGCGCTTCCATTATGGGGCAAATATTCCATCTACCCCCTGTCATACTGATGCTGTATGGCAGCATTATGAGGAAAAATCAAATTAGGCTGTTTCATTTGGAGGACTGTTGTGCATTGCGAACAGCTTTGGAGATCAATTGAGCCGCTAGGTAATGAGCGGCAGCGGCCTGCTCTAATATACTCAGTAATGTTCTTTTGATTGCTTTGGTTAATCTAACTCTGCCATGCAGGGGAGGTAACCCTCTCTCTCTCTGTTGAAACTCAGCCCAGGTTAGAGGGAAGTATAAAAAATGGGCAACAGCATTACAAAAGTCAATCAATATGAATCAGCCTGTTAATTCAAGACAATCCCTATTCATGTTTAGTGCCACTAGAAATTCATCATACTCCATTAGAACATTTTTTTTATGTCTGGTTTTATTCTAAAGAGTTTTGGCAAATACAAACAAATAAGATGAAAAAACCGAGCTAAACAGGCCACAGTGGACAACCTTCACATGAAGTGTCAGTGATGTGTTGACGCTGAAGTGAATGGAATCAGACACAGTAGACCAGCTCTGCTGTTTGAAAGCAAAATCCTCTCGTTTGTCCACCACTCGCATACTGTACAAGTATGAGGTATGAGGTCACAGCTGTGACCATTTAATATGCTCTGGCTCATATTCATTGCTCTGCACCTTTTTGCTCTCACAGAAAATGCTAACAAACCTGTCCAACCACTTTTGCAATATGCTGCACTGCACTATTGCGGGCCACACCATCTGCCATGTTTTGCTGTGTAGTGTGAATATTTATTTACTCAAGCTGGATTGCTCAGCATCCAGAAAACCTTTGTAGAATTGTCCACATTGCGTGCTCAGAGACGGCTGACAAATCTGGTTAGAGCTGTGAAGGACTGTGTAGTTACCAGTTTGTTGTTTGGAGACAAATGCTGTTGCGTGTGTTTGTGACTCTTACCTCTCCACGTGGTCCAGGTTCCCTGATACGCCAAGTCCTCCGATGGCGTAGAGCTTTCCGTCATACACCAGGCTGTTGTGTCTGCAGCGAGCCACAGTCATCCGAGACACCAGATTCCAGTTGTCTAATAGGGACATGTAGCACCATACATCAGCCACCATCACACCTGACTCGATACCACCTGAAATGCATAGAATACATGTGATCAAAGTTGACATGTAGGGTGATTTTATAAGGGTATTTCGACCACAGTAACCAGTAACAGCGATTTCACCTGGATTTTCTCCAGAGGAATAAGGACAAGATTTACTTCCTGTGTGATGCTTCCAGGTGTCAAAATGTCACCGCTCTAGCAGCAGCACCTTCCAGTGGTTCAGGAATTATCAGGGTTATATTTGATAACAAAAGTTATATTGTCTCCTTCCCCATAGCTAGTAGTTTCATTGCAATTACACACTGAAACAAGAATAAATAACCATCAAACACTCTGCAGATGGTCTACTTTGGAGCCACTTACTCTGAAGTTTTCAGCCTTTTTTCTCACCTCTTCCTTCACTCATTCATCATAAAAACATAAATGTACAAAAGGAACTTAGTTCCAAGTTTAGAGAAATTAAGTTTCTGTAGCTCCTTAGTACCTGCCACCACTGGGACAAAAAGAGCTATATGACTTTATGTAGCATGGTGTTTATGAATACATGCAAAACGATGGAATTATGTGGTAGTAATGACAGAAGTACTGAAAATGTTTTTTCTTCATACAAACTGTCTCTGATTTAATATAAAAATCTCCATTACTAAATATTGTGCATTTTATCAGAGGTTAAAATAAGTGACTTGGCTGACTTGAACTGACTGAAAGTTGTTTTCTGCTGTGCTGGCTGCTCAACCCAGCCAACCAACAAAACTGCACTTGTTTCAGGTCTCTTCAAAGAAGCTCTGTTAACGGTGTAGATTGACATGTAACACCGGCCGACTCAGTGACCCTGCTCCGAATGTGAGGAAGGTTACAGACTGGAGCCTGTTGATTGGCTGGCTAGAACACCTCTGATTTCCCCACTGGCTGTCTGACTCCCAGAAGACAGATGCAGACCTGTTCCAATGCCCAAGCACAAATTTACATTTATATGAAAAGAGGGAGAGGAAAAGGTACATGCAGGGCAAATCCTGTTGCATTTCCACAGTGCAATGTCAAGGTCTGAATACCGTGCAGGGTTCTCACACAAACGGACTGTGCAGGGCAAAATTCAGTCTAACTCTGGAGGAGCAACTTAAAGGTGTCTCATAGAGCGAGTCACAAAGAGCACTGTGTGCCACTATGGAGCAAATTAAACCACAGAACACTGCAGCAACTGTAAAGCCAGACAGAGGGAAAAGTCAGGTTCAATAAAATGTTCCACAGAAGGTAAATAGGAAAGACATTCTAGACAAAAATAACTCTTCTGAAAAGAAATAAATTAAAGGTGTCTGCATTGTTGTGCAGAGGAAAAGCTTTCAGTACAACAGATGAGTAAGCTTTGAGGGCAGCCAGGCCTTTAAAATGCTTTAAATGCTTCACAAAGGTCACAGGAAATGGGTGATAGCCTTGGTAGCATCACATTACAGAATCATATCTGTTGCAGAATAATATGCCCTCTATAAAAGATCAAGACTGTCAAGTGTGGAGACCTTTGTCTCATTCTGATGCAAGTGGTTTTAAAGATTTTCACTCCTGTTGGCTTAAAAATGGAGATACTTGATGCGCTCATGTTTTATCAACTGCCGTTTCCAAGATCGAGAATGAACTTGACTCAGGGAAAGATTATAGTTTTTATAGTGTATGTTAGTTGCTGTGTACCATAACAAGCCTAACAACCGATCATTTACAAACTTTAATATCGGCTGAAGAAACCAACAAACTGCAATGACAGCCGTCTGCCAGCCAAATCATTTTTCATTTCATTCAGTAACTGAAGAATGGTGTGAACTAAAAGCCTGTAAAGCCCCTCACATTCTCCTCTGGCATCCCAATAAGAGAGCTGAACTGTAGAAACACCCTCTCCTTCCTCAAATGTGTTCCTAAGGCTACGACATCTCAAATATGAACAGCTGCCACGCTGAAAGCAGTGACGCAAATTTTTAGCCTACATTAAGCTTCAGCCACAATTCCCTCTGCTGCAGGGGTAAATCGGGTGCTGAGGGTATTTGTATAAATTTCCCTTCTCTCCTCCCTTAATTTGCATCCCTGAACTGGAATGCCTTAAAATACATACTGCATGAGCCCAAATGTGCAACTTCCAGTGGTCTTCTGTTTTTTCTGGTGCAAAGCCAAACTGCGACTCCTTGGCAAATAAGAACACCTGAAAAAACCTTGGTAAAAATCCCCCTATAAGAGGACAGTAATGCTACTAGCACTAAAATGGTATAGTGCTTTAAGCTAAATGCCCACAGTGACAATGTTAACCTGTTGCTATTTAGCAGTTATAGGGAAATATTTACCTTTTGGTCTCTTGTGCCTGTTTTTCAGGTGCATATTTACATGTTCTGCCCTAAACACACATGCTCCAGCAGGCTGGAATCTCAGTTTGCATGTAATTTGTGTGTCTGCATTGTGCGACACACACTCACTCCTCATCACATACGCATTTAAGGGAGCACTGCACAAATAGTAGGAGGAGACGTGAACAGAGGATGATTATGCATTCCGGTGGATTTCCTGAGGTCACACAATTGCGACTGTCAATTTTACTGGGAAAATTGTCAGCCTCTACAAAGGGATTAACAAGTGAGACAAGTAAGGTTGTAGTGGCAGCAGTAAATTTGCATTAAGTATAGCCTGACTGTACATTTAACTGAAACCTTATTATTAAAATAAAAAATGAAGTCATTACACACAATGTCTTATTACTGTTACACAGAGGAATAGTGGGCAGGAAATCATGGTTTGTGTTCTTCAAACTTAATCTGAACTTGACCATCAGTGATGTCAAATCCTTACAGAGCGCAGCTAAACCTTTCTTTGCTTGGTTAAGATATTCAAGTGAGAATCTGGCTGCATTTACCTACTATTAACATCCATATTAATTCCACCTCCACCTGAGCTACTACACCTGTGCCATCTCTCCACGAATCAGATGCTCAATTCACACAGACAGCCGTTGCACACTCAACGAAAACTGCAGCACGCCTTTGTGCACAGCAATTTTCTTTGGCAAATCTGGCCCACAATGTCTGCGTTACAACATTTGTTAATTAGCAAACAAGCTGAGGCTGATGGGAATGTCATTAGTTCTGCAGGCATTTAGTCATAAACCAAACTAACAGACAAATTGGAATTTGACCTGGATGCCATTTAATGAAACATTAGGGAACTCCCAAAGCTATAATGGCTTCTGGGTGGAACATAACAGTCTCCATCAAATTTCAGGGCAATCCACAGAATAGGTGTTGAAATATTTCAGTGTGGACCAAAGTGGAGAACCACCCAACAGACTGACATTGCCTCCATAGAGTCATCCTGCTAGCATGGCTAAAGACACTGTAGGTACAATAAAACCAGTGTGATGTTAACTTGGTGGCAATACAACAGATGTGTCATTCAGTCTTTTCAATCTAAAGATTCAATGCTGTGGTCAGTGAGTGGATGTTGAAGATTTATTTGAACAAATTGTGCAATGATGGTGGGGATAACCTTTCACCACTACAGCGTGATAAATGGTTGGCATCTGCTGTCCTCCTGCTCTGCTCCACTAAGTGAAAGACAGGACAGCTACAATTGTTGCTGCTGGAGTGGGTAATTTAACTCACCTGACAGGTAGATGTTGTCTCCTGCTGAGATGACATTGAAGAACTCGCGGTCATAGAAGGGCAGGCTGGCCAGCGGGTACCACTTACTGTTCTGGGGGTTAAAACAGGTGACTGCTGTCAGGGAGCGCTGGTTCATCCCAGTCACCTGACGCCCTCCCACCAGAACTATCACCTCGGCTACACCTAGAGGATAAAGGTAGAGGAAAGGGTGCAGAGGAGAAGGATGATGGGGGTGGAGATAAAGGAAGGAAAGAGATGGGAAAAGGCAGGCCATCAGGGTTTCCAGCAGTATATCAAGGCCAAGACTAAATCAAAGGCTCTTTGAGACAGGCTAGTGCTGCACCAACTAGCAGGCATAATGTTTCATGGCATGTTTTTAGTTTTTAAATATGGCTTTCAGGTGTAAGATGAACAGTTTTCTACATTTAATAATGGCACCATTTACCATTCACCTTCTGAACCTTTTCATTTACATTGCAGACGAGAACCTCGGCGAGCTGTGTGAGAGCTGATAAACACACAAAACAGCCATAGGATTAGAACTCTGCTGTTTTGAATTCAGCAGGCCTTGGCTGTCTCTGAGTCAATAAGCTTATCCAGAAATGCAAAACAAAATGCAAAACAGAAAAGTTTCCTTTTGGTCTCACAAAGTGTTTGAGTTAAATGGGAAAGTATAACTCAATTAGCAAGACTGATGGGCTGCCGTTTGTGTATGTAAACTGGGTTGCTGCCCAGCTCTCATTCTTCCTTCCTACAACCACTAACCCTAAACATTTACTTGTTTAAGCAATGTTCAACAAGCGAGAATCAATTTGTGTACATTTGTATGCATCTTGCGTCATGTCCACACATGTGCTAGGGCCTTGTGTGATTCAGAATATTCCTGAAACACATTCAGCTCTCATCCCCGTTACTCCTCACCCAATCTCTGCTCTCAGTCATGCATGCACACACCTACACACACAGAGTTGGTTGATAAAGACACCAGCGATCCACAACACACAAACAGGTTGGCAGGCTGCCACGTGCGCATCTCAGGTCCTTCTCAGTCCTCAGCAGCAGGCAAGACGACGAGCCGCCAGACAGAAATAAGCTGTGTGTTTGTAAGCAGCAGGCAGGCGAGCAGGCCGAGGGAGGCGAGCCAGGGAGGGGGAGGAGAGCGATAGAGAGATAGAAACGGTGTGAGAAGAGAGAGAGCGAGAAAAACAAAGAAGGTACGAGAGAAAGAAAGGGAGGAGGGACAGCTCGTTTTCATACACTCCAAACTGCCTGGATCGATAGTTTTCTACTCAGACACTCCCCAGACAGACACATACATACTGTGTCTGTCTGTTACTTCATTCTGCTTCTGTTAAAAATCTATCTCCCTATTTTTTTCTTAAGCTTTTCTTTTAAAGCTAGTAAAACAGAGCTTTCCTCCAGGAAGGGTAAAAGAGTAAAAGGGTAAAAAGAGGAGAAAGATACAATAAGTACAACAGGCTTTGCTGAGGCTGAGCAAACAGACATAGCAGTAAGTAGTACCTCAAACATATTGTGGACATACAGCTTAGACTTAGTGGGCAGCTTAAAGCCAACTGGCTCTTTTCCTTGGTAAGATTTTAAGAAAGTGCTCCTCTGTGTAGGATGGAAAAGAAAGCGGTGGCTCAAGGAGAAATTGTGACAGTGTCACTGCAAAGATGAAGGTCTGGTACATGTCTAAAAAAAGGACAATCATGACAAAATATGGAAGGTGTAGGAGTCACCACCTTGAAAAATGAGAGAACTTGGAGCATTGCTGAAAAAGATTTCAGCCGAGCTTGCCCCCATCATGGGCCCGTTTTCACAGCTTCATGGCATCAAACTCCAGAGTCAAAGTCACAAATGGCCCCTGAGACCTCCAACAGACCTTGGATATACAGCTAATAAATGGGAGTATGGTTTTATAGGATAGCTGCAGCTGTAGCGGCTGTTCTTTGAAAAAACAATTAAGTGAATACAGGCTCTTTGTCTTCCCTCTTATGAGCCTCCAACCATACACACACATTCATTATGTTGACTTTGCTTCGCTATTGTTCTCCCACGATTAGTTTGCTACTATTGCTGTACGTGTTTGTACTCTATTTCTCTTTATCACATGCTATTTTTCACATTTATAGGATTTTAACATTTTGTTTGCTTTGCCTTTATAGGATTACATTTTCATCTCCTTTTAAGTCATCCTATTAGCTGTTTCAGGTTGTTGATATCGACTGCCTCAATTAACTTGGCAAAGTTTCTGTATCCGTCTTCTCTTTGTGTGCACTTCAGTGTTCTACCTTTTAGAATTTTCTGATGTTGTAGGGTTGTTGAATTTTTCCATTTAAAATGTAAAAAGTATGCAATTTTGAAAAGAGACTGAAACAGGGAGTTCTTTTCTTGTTTTTCAACATAAATCTTTCCTCCACCAAACAAGCTTGAACCCTCAGTGTCTGTTTAGGCCAAGTTAAGCAGGTCTACTGTACATGCTGCTGAATTGTACCTCTATGCACATGCAGGTCTTTACTATCACTTAGCGCCTATGTGCGCTTTCCACTTGGCTAAACACGTCAAGGAGAGTCCACATCTGGGCTCTGAGGCTGCTGTGTGGGTCTGACCCATGAAGCTCCAAATGCATTCACACAACACAACCCAACACCAGCCTGTCAGAACACAGAACAGGAGAGCGGCAACGCTGACGGGGAGTCATGGCGTCGGATCAAATGGTTGTGTGTGTGTGTGTGTTCTCTCAGACAACAAAGCCTCACAGGCAGGACAGTCAGTTGAATGGAGGTTCAACAAGAGCTGGGTTGAGGGATGAAGGGATGGAGGATTGAAGGATGGAGACGAGTGGTTGGGGATGAAGGGATAACCAAGACTTGACAGCTCTGTTTTTTTTTTTTTATCCTGACAGAGTTTATACCCATAGCAGTTGGAGAGAAAACGCTTCCTTCTCCTGATTGTTAGTGACTTTTGTTATCCATTGTCCACACAGCAAACATCACTTGTGACCTTTAGCTACTAATAGAAATAACTGAATTTTTCTTGCTAAATTAGACATTAGCCAGGGTCTTGAGTGTAAAGGAAATCAATGGGAGCACTGATTGATGAAATACCCTTTTGTGTCTGTGTAAATATCCTCAGCCAAACTGTAAAAAGAGAAATTGCCTGCACAGCTCGCCTGACCTCTAAGGAATACGAGCACATTGACGACTCCAGCCATTAGGAGCACAGCGAGCGACTCCACCTGGAGTTCATTTGCTAGATTTGTGACACTGTGTGACAGGAGTTTCTGTATGTGTGTGCCATCCACAACCCATTAATCAGTGTGGGAACCAAATCTGTGTCAAACACACAGTCTATCTTGTAAAAGTCTCAAGGATCAGTCTTCCCTTTACTAATGTACCGTTACTTGTGTTTGTCAAAACAAGGACAGGATATGTGCAAATAATAGAAATGGGGAATTATCTGCAGGCAAACCACAGGGCAGTATTTCACATTGACAGTCAGTTATTTGTTTCCACTTCCCTTTAGTGTCTCTGTGTCCAGTTTGTTTCTGACTGCTGTCGCCATTGTGTCAGAGCAGTGATTGAAAGCTGACTTTAAGCATGAACAGTTTCACTTTGGCGTCTTCCTGTTTTCCCCCTATGATTCCCCATAGAGGTGCTTTCTTGTAGGGTAGTTATCCTGCCTGAAGAAAAGACACAGGCAAGTGACCCGCATGCTTCTTTGCTTTTCCTTCCCAACAGTAAAAATGTGTGCATCCTGTGGTACAACTCTGAAAGAAAATAGACTGTATCCTGCATAGTCCCAGGGTGCACTGTTTATGATGTGAAGTTAACTTGGTAAGTATGGATGTCTCCTTTGTACGAGGATGTTTTGTGGCTAATGTCTCTTGAGAGCAGACCAGACAGGATACTAAATGAATCCATCCTCATTGCAGTGTGGCTGCACTTGGTTTCCTCTTTGAAGGACTTGAGGGATACCAGCTATACTCATTCTATTCATCCTTCGTTAATTTCTTTCATTCAATTACTCTACATTTGTTTCTTGATGAACAATCCAATACAACATCTTTGGAGGGAGTTTAAACTTCACGTTGCTCAGCGACAGCCCTGAAACCTGACAGATCTAGAGGAGATCTGTGTGGAGGAGTGGGCCAAAATCTCTGTTGCAGTGTGTGCAAACCTGGTCAAGAACTACAGGAAACGTTTGACCTCTGTAATTGCAAACAAAGGTTTCTGTACCAAATATTAACACTGATTTTCTCAGGTGTTCAAATACTTATGTTCAGCAGTGCAAGACAAATAAATTCTTTAAAAATCATACAATGTGATTTCCTGAATTTTTTTTTTTTATCTCAGAGTGGGAATGCACCTACAATGTGAATTTCAGACCCCTCCATGATTTCTAAGTGGGAGAACTTGCAAAATCGCAGGGTGTTCAAATACTTCTGCTCCTCACTGTATGTTTAACTTATTTATAGCACAAATTGTGCACAGGTTTTGAGCAACACCTAGCTTGAAAGAAATGTATGTAACTAGATACTTAATTCAAGGAAAACTAAAGAAATGGTGATAGACCTCAGGAGGAACAGGACAGACCCTTCCCCACTTTTTATCAATGGGAATGTGGTGGAGCGAGTTTTAACCTTCAAGTTTCTGGGGACCATGATTTCTCAGGACCTCTGCTCGACAGAAAATACCACAGCAGTGGTTAAAAAGTCCCATCAGAGACTACTCTTTTTGAGGTTGCTCCGCAAGACCATGCTGGTTGCTCTGCTATAAACATTGCCAGCTCAAGATGTCTTAGCAGAGCCAGGAACATCCTGAAGGACAACATGCACCCTGGACATGAGTTGTTTGCCTTCTTGCCCTCTGGGAGGAGATACAGAAGCCTGAAAAGCAGGACTAACAGACTTAAAAACAGCAATCCAAACTCTGAATACTGCTAACTAATAATTTGATAAGCTACACCCAGTATCAATATTTTAATATATTTATTATGAACTATTTATTGCTGTATGGTTGTATGAATGTGGACAAGGTGGTCGTGAGAATGGACAGTTTGTTTTTTTATTTTATATATTTGCACTGAACAGATGTGGCACATGTAATTTTGTTGTACTTATGTATAATGACAAAGTATTCATTCATTCAAAATTGAGTGACAATTGGAAACAGAATAAA